ACAGGATGACAGTGTGCCATATAGTGATGGGGTGCTGCGGTGCCATGGTGGCACAGTGCTGGGGTGACAGTGGGGTGATGTTGGGGTTCCCAGGTGCCTGCAGGGTGACATGGTGTGTGCCTGCAGGTGAGGTGATGGTGCAGGAGCTGGGATGCCCTAGTGATACAGTGTTCGGGTGACATTGGGGTGCCGATGGGGTGTTGGGGCGCCCATGGTGACATGGTGTGTGCCTGCAGGTGAGGCGTCAGCACAGGAGCTGTCGGCGCAGGTGCTGAGCCCATCGGGGCAGCGGCGCGAGGCCGAGGTGGTGCCAGGGGGCGCGGGGGTGTACAGCGTGCGCTTCGTGCCCCAGGAGACGGGCGCCCACACTGTCAGCGTCAAGTTCCGGGGGCAGCACGTGCCCGGGAGCCCCTTCCAGTTCACCGTGGGGCCCCTGGGCGAGGGTGGCGCCCACAAGGTGCGGGCAGGGGGCACCGGGCTGCAGCGCGCCGTGGCCGGGACGCCAGGTACGGGGGGGTCTGCCAGGAATGGGAGATGACGGGGGCCTGGGGGCTCTGGGGGTGACTGGGGGGGTGTGGGGGTGTGAGGGCAATGCAGGGTGGATGCTCTTGGGGGGATGTGGGGGGCTCTGGGTGCTGTGGGGGTGTGGGCAGCAATGGGGGGTAGGTGCTACATGTGTGGGGGGTGCTGGTGAAATTTGGGAGCTCTGGGTGCTGTGATGGGATTTGGGTACAGCTGGGTGTGGGGGCAGTGGGGAGCTGTTACGAGTGGTCTGTGTGCCATGGGTGGGATGTGGGTGCTATTGGGGAGTCTGGGTGCTGTGGGGACGTGGGTGCAGGTCTGTGCTGGGTGTCACCATCCTGGGGTGCCACTGAGAGCCAGGGTGACCCTGGTGATCCCCCCAGCTGAGTTCAGCATCTGGACGCGTGAGGCTGGCGCGGGGGGACTCTCCATTGCTGTTGAGGGGCCCAGCAAGGCCGAGATCTCCTTTGAGGACCGCAAGGACGGCTCCTGTGGTGTCTCCTACCTGGTGCAGGAGCCAGGTGAGGGGGGCTGTGCCCCTACACCCTCAACCCCCCCAACCACCCCTAATGTCCCCCAGGGTGCTCAGCCTCATGTGAGGAGGGACCCACATGCAAAGGTGTCCCGGTTAAGGCTGTTCTCCAGGGAGGGTGTCCCCAGATAAAGGTGTCTCTCTGCACAGCTGTCCCCAGGGAAGGGTGTCTCTGTGAGTGGTGTCTCCGTGCATGGGTGTCCCCGTGCATGGGTGTCCCCACATGCGAGCGTTTCCAAGGGAAGCTGTCCCCATGTGGGGGCTCCCCACATGACTGTCCCATGTCCCCCAGGTGACTACGAGGTGTCCATCAAGTTCAACGAGGAGCACATCCCTGACAGCCCCTTTATTGTCCCTGTTGCCTCCCACTCCGATGATGCCCGACGCCTCACTGTCACCAGCCTGCAGGTACTGGGGATGCTCCCTGTGAAACCCTGGGGAACCCCTGGGCTCACAGATGGCCCCTGGGTCCTCAGGGCACAACTGGACTGCTCTGAGCCCCTATTGCAAGATTGAGATGCCCTGTGTGGCACCCTTGGACCCTCTGGGGCACCCCTCCCTCCCTCCCTCCCTGTCAGTCATTCTTGGGGCCACCTCTTTCTCCCTCCCTCATGTCACCTTTGGGACCGCTGTGTTGCCCCTTTGTCACCCTTGGGATTCCCTGGAGCCACCTCTCCCCCCTGTTACCATTGGCACCCTCCTTGGTGCCACCCCTGTGTCCCTTGTGTTAATCCTGGGCCACCTTGCACACCTGTGTCACCCTTGGGCCCCATGGTGTTCCCCTGCCCCCCCCACTGTGTCCTCCACCCCCCTCATGTCCCCCCATGCCCTGGGGTGTACCAGCTGGCCTCATTCATGATGTCCCCTGCCCCCCATGTCCCTGATGCCACCATGGTGTCCCCACAGGAGACGGTGGCAGTGAACCAGCCAGCGTCCTTTGCCGTGCAGCTGAACGGGGCGCGTGGCGTCATCGATGCCAAAGTGCACACGCCTGCAGGGGTGGTGGAGGAGTGTTACGTGTCCGAGCTGGACAGCGGTGAGGGCACATGGGGACACCACGGGGACACCGTGGGGACACTGGGACACCAGGTCTGCAGATGTGGGGTTGTGGGCACAGGGCACAGGACACGGGGACATCTGATGTGGGGACACGGGGATTGAGCACATGGGGACATAGGACATGGGGACAGAGTGACACAGGACATCCCCCAGACTAGTACACACTGGGGTTCTTGCATGGGGTGTGGGGACACGGGGGTGTGGGGACATGGGGACACAGGACACAGGGATATGGGGACATGTCTGTGTCCCCCTGATATGCACTGGAGTTCCTGCTGGGCAGGAACAGAGCTGTGGGGACATGGGGACACGAGGACATGGTGACATGTCTGTGTCCCCCCAGACCGGTACGCACTGGGGTTCCTGCCACGTGAGAACGGAGTCCACTCCATCGACCTGCGCTTCAATGGGCGCCACGTGCCTGGCAGCCCCTTCAACATCCGCGTGGGCGAGCAGAGCCAGGCCGGGGACCCTGGGCTCGTCACTGCCTTTGGGCCGGGCCTCGAGGGTGGCCGCACAGGTGACACTGCTGTGGAGACAGGGACAGGGACATGGCTGTGGGAGGAGGGTGGGGATGGAGGAACAGCTGTGGTGGTGGCAGGAGAGACATGACCATGAAATGGTGATGGGGACAGAGCCACGATGGAGATGTGGCCATGGGAGTTGTCATAATGGGAATGTGGCCATGGGTGACCACATGTGACCACAATGGTGTCCTGGTGTCCCCTCCATGATGCCATCCCCATGTCTGTGTCCCAGGGGTGCCCTCAGAGTTCCTGGTGCAGACAGCCAATGCAGGGGCAGGAGCACTGGCTGTCACCATTGATGGACCCTCCAAAGTGGAGCTGGACTGTACTGAGGTCCCCGAGGGCCACCGTGTCACCTACACCCCAATGGCCCCTGGCAACTACCTCATCTCCATCAAGTATGGGGGCCCCCATCACATCGTGGGGAGCCCCTTCAAAGCCAAGGTCACTGGTACGAATGGGGGGGACCTGAAGATGGGAAGGGACATGGGTGTGGGGAGGGACATGGGGACAAAGAGGAACATGGGAACTAGTGGGGACAGGGGAACTGAGGGGGAAGTGGGGATGCCGGGACCCCCACCACATCACAGGCGGCCTCTTCAAGGCCAAGGTCAATGGTACAGGTGGGGTGGGGGTAGACACGGGTATGGGGGGCATGGATAAGGGAGATGGGGCAGGAGAATGTGGGGTGACATTCTCCCCAGTGTGGGGTGACAAGGGGCCAATGATGGGTATGGTGGAGGGTTGCAGGAGGGTCATCCTGGAGGTCCCTCAGGGTGGCATGAGTTGGGGGGTTCCTAGGGTGGTGACAAGGGATCCTGGGGATGATGTGGTGTAGAAGCCCCAGGATGATATGATGGGGGTCCCAGAGGGAGGAGGGATTGTCCCTGGAAAGTGTCCTCATATCCCCCCAGCAAGGTGTGATGGGGGGTGTCCCCATGGTGGGGCTGACCATGTTCCCCCGATATTCCCCAGGCCCACGGCTGTCAGGCGGGCACAGTCTGCACGAGACCTCGACAGTGCTGGTGGAGCCGGTGGTGAGGGCAGGGTCGCGGGGCCCCCCTGCCTTTGGGGGTGTCACCAAAGCCCCATCGGATGCTGGGCAGGTGGTGGCCCGGGGGCCAGGGCTGGCAGCCGCCCGCCTGGGCCACAAGAACCACTTCACTGTGGACTGCAGCAAGGCCGGTGAGGGGCCCTGGGGGTCCTGGGGGCTTGGGGTGGCTGGGAGGAGGCATGGGCTCGGAAGGGCAGATGGGGGCTCAGCAGGGCAGTCCAGGAGCTCCTAGGGCAGTCCTTTGAGGACTTGGAGGAGAGTCTGTGGGTCTGTGGGGTGTTCAGAGAATTTGGGGGAGTCTTGAGAAAGGATGGGGTAGGTGAAAATGGGGCCTGTGGGTCCTGGGAGGGGATGGGGTGGGTAAGCGGGGGAGTCTGATGGAGGGTCTGGGATGCAGGGGAGGAAGTTTGGGGTGACCCTGTGGTCTCAAGCTCAGGGTTCACCCTGCCTGTGTCTCTCCATCAGGGACAAACATGCTGCTGGTGGGGGTGCACGGCCCCAAGGCCCCGTGTGAGGAGGTGCACGTGAAGCACGAGGGGAACCGTGTCTACACGGTGACCTACAGCGTGCGGGAGCGTGGCGAGTACGTGCTGCTGCTGCGCTGGGGTGACCGTGACGTCCCAGGGAGCCCCTTCCGTGTCACTGCGGCCTGAGACCCGCCCGGGGATCCCTGGGGGTCCCAGGCCTATCAATAAAGCACTGGGAGAGGAAGAGTGGTCCAAGTGATGACAGGGGAAATACCGCAGAGTGGGGCTGGGAGGGTGCCAAGGGGACTCCGGGGAAGGACACCGGGTGTAGGGCCATCCTGAGCAGGACAACGGAAATCTGGGGTGTCTGGGGGCGGCTCTGGGGATCCGGGACAGGATGATGGGGCCCGAGGCGGTCCAGAGCAGGATGTCCTGGTCCTGGGGGAGGCGGGGGGGGATTCCGGGGGCTGCAGGATGGGATTAGGAGGTCCTGGTCTGAGATGGTGGGGTCTGGAACAGGACACTGGAGGTGGCTTGGGAGGGTCTGGGGTAGAATGGCCAAGTCGTGAGGGGGCCCAAGGGGGATTCCATGGCAGAAGAGCGGCAGTTGTTGTGGGGGGCCCGGGGGCGTTCAGGGGGTCCCGTACAGTGCGGTCCCGCCAGGGGGCGCTGTGCAGGGCAGCGCCCCCGTCCCCTCAAGGGCACGTCCCACTGCGCATGCTCGCGATCGTGGGGCGGGGCCGGTGGGAGGGGCGTGGCCGGCGCAGGGCGCGGCTCCTCCCGCGGCGGTGGGCGGGGCCTCGCGGCGTTGCCGGGGCAGCGGCGGGCGGGGCCGCTCGGGCGCGCGGCGGCGGCGGAGCCCGGAAGCGGCGGCGGGTTCCGGTCGTTCCCGATCGCTCCTGATCCCGTCAGCCGCTGCCGGCGGCGCGTCCCGATCCCGCCGGGTCCCGGCAGCGGCCCCGGGGCCGCCATCCCAGTGGATTCCGTACCCGGCGGCCCCCGGGCATGGCGGGCCGCGGGAAGCTGATCGCGGTGATGGGCGACGAGGACACGGTGACCGGGTTTCTTCTGGGCGGCATCGGGGAGCTGGACAAGCACCGGCGGCCCAACTTCCTGGTGGTGGAGAAGGAAACAAGCCTGGCTGAGATCGAGGAGACCTTCCGGTGTGTGTGGTGGGCGACGGCGGCCCGGGAGGGCACGGGGCGGTCTGAGGAGGGGTCTGGCGGTGTCTCAGAGGGGTCAGAGAGGTAAGGGAGGGTCTGAGGGGTCCCTGTGGTGGTCCTGTGAGTCCCTAGTGGGGTCTTTGAGGAGGATCCAGGCAGGTTTTGGGATCTCGGGGGGGTCACAGAGTTCCTGGAGGGAAGAGAGCTCGCTCGCAGGAGTCCCGGGTCAGGGTGCCGGGAGTGTTTAGGGGATCCAAGGGGTCCCGAGGAGCGCGTCCCACCTCGCTGGTGTCCCCTCCGTGTCCCCTCACTCTCCCTTTCTCCCTGCTCGCAGGGGTTTCCTGGCGCGGGAGGACGTGGGCATGATCCTGATCTCGCAGGCCCTGGCGGAGCAGATCCGGCCGGCAGTCGCAGCCCATGCCCGGGCGCTGCCCGCGGTGCTCGAGATCCCCTCCAAGGACCACCCCTACGACCCGGCCCGGGACTCGGTGCTGCGCCGCGCTCGGGGGCTCTTCGCACCTGATGAGCTGCGATAGAGCCCCCCAGGATACCCCAACCCCTCCCGACACTCCCCCAAATCTCCCTCTAAGCTCCCCCAAACAGTTCCCCCGATACCCCCAGTATGTGCAAACCTCCGCAGCACCCCCAAACTGTCCTCTTCACCCCGTGCCCGTGGCCTCCTTGCGCCCAGCCACGGGTGACGGGCAGCAGGGAATCCCAAACAGTCCCCGGTACCTTCCCAGCACCCTCAAACAGTCGCCCACCACTCCCCTAACTTCTTCACACTTGACAACCTGTGATAGCCCTCGCTGGTACCCCAGAACAGCCCCTGGGGCCCCACGGGGTCACAAGCCAGGCCTGGGAGTCTCCACCCCAGGGAAACCCACACAGGGGCCCCCAGCCCACCTGGGGCAGTTGTGCCCTATGCCTGGGGGCCCTCACTCCACAAGTCCCCATCCCAGAGTGCTGCTGGGGGGTCCCTAGGGTTCCCAGGGTGTCCTCTGGGTGCTGGGGAGCTGTGGTTGCCCCGTGGGTCTGAGGGTGACACCGGGAACTCTGCGGGTGCCTGGGGCAGCCACGGGAGCCTTGTGCGTGACCCGTGACTATGTCTCAGCCGTGTCCCACGATGGGGAAGTGGCACTACCGTATCCTGCTGAATCCTGCCAGAT